GCGCGTTGTTAAGATCTTTCAATATATGACAATTATGACATATAAACATGTATATTTGGACCGTTTCTATGTAATAATATATCAATGGCTAATTAAAAATTGGTACAATCGATTAAAGACAGAAGTAACCCTTATTAAAGTATACAAAAGATTCACTATTCCGTGCATTAGAAACAAAAAATTGGTTACAATAACTAGAAAGGCTTTTTTAAAGATTTCTTTTACTTATATTAGAATTGATTAAAGTGTATCGTAATGAAAGTCGTTTTCTTTAAAAAAAAACAAATAAAAATAAATATACAAAAAATTTACAGGTCTAATAATAAAAACAATACGTTTCTTTTTAATAAATAAATATTTAAAAATATATGAAAAATAAATAAAGAGATATGAGAATAAAGAGAAGTGCTAAACAATACCAATTAAAATCTTTAGGGAACAGTTTAAAATGTATAAAATAAGTACTTTGTATAACTGAATAAAAAGTAGGAACAATATTATAAAAATACATAATATTATACTTTTTCGAGAATGAGAGACAAAGAATCCTAAATTAACTAAAAATCGCGGAAAAAAGTACTACTAGTTTTGAACCACAAAGGGGTTCAAACCACAGTAGGCTGCGCGACATCGCCGCGACCGCGCACACTGCTCATGAGGAAGAGCTCCTCTGTGGCTCGAAACTAGTAGAGCTTTACACAGTATATTCACGTGAGTAACCCGTGATTAATAGTTAATTTAGTTTGTATCACTATAGTTAGAATTCTAAAGTGTAATTTTGTCTGTGGTAGCTAAAAAGGCGAGTGTTTAATTTGTTATAGTCTATAATCTATGGCCTTAGTCTAAGAAGGTAACGAGAGAATCTCTAGAATGTGAGAGAGTATATCCAGTAACTTATGATAATAACGAATACTAGAATTATAATCATTGCTTGGTTAGACCGGGTAGCAAGCTGGTCGAAGCTTTGAGATAAAATTATAAATTATTAGCTTTTGACAATCTTCGTCCGCGTTTTCCTGTGTAAAAAATAAGTAGCCTATATGTAATTCCAGATCACCTTCCCCTGTTCCGAATTTCACCCTGATCTCTTCACCCGTTTTGACGTGATTGGCGACTACAAACATACCTACACTGACAAAATTTAGAATTTATATTTTCGTTCAAATAAATCGCTGTTACTTAATAAAAAATGTGATTATCTTTCAAATATTTAAGTTTATTCGTGCTACATCAAGCAAGATCTTTTGATTCGATTCGATTCCCGCACGGAGCAACTATTTGTGTGATCTACAAATAATTGTTTCGGGTCTGGGTGTGATGTGTATGTGAACTTGTATGTTTGTAAACGCACCCACGATACAGGAGAATATTTCCAGGGTGGGACAACGTTCTAATAAAAAAGAAAAATTTAGAATCTGTCGTGTTTCTTTCGGTATTTCTTGTCAGGGTAATCCGATAGGAAATGAAGGCGTCATTTAGTACATCATTTAAAGATTGACATGTAGAAGTGTTACCTTGTATCCTATTTGCAGAAATAAATATCATTTATCATTATGAAGTATTATAATTTAACCTTATTAATGGAATAGAATAATGGAACCACACGGTCTAACCAAAAAAACCCTAACATTATAAATAATTATCATATGTGCAACAAGACCTTATGATAAACGTGAATCACATTGTAACATGAACCTAAACTACTTACTAATAAAGATCATTTTCTTATATTTTTGTACTGGCGGTCGCTCCATTTCCGATGCATGTGTTTGACTATGTAGAGGGGTAGGCAGGACACTAGGGTTATTACAATTACCTTCCACCAGAACTCCCAGTGTCGAATGAAGTCGCCATCTGTTGAAGAATTGTCATTATCCATTAAAATTAGTATTATAATAAGGTTGGTTCTTGGTCCATGATATATGTTGTAGGAAAACTAGGGTACGATCTATACGTTAATTGCGACAAAGGACAATACATATGACTTCATGAGTGAAAGATTTGCCTACAACAAGTTTCTATTAGAAATCAAAGCTTAATTAAGGTCTAAAGGCGGGTAATTTTAAAACAAGTTTTTACAAAAGGGAATTGCGACTAATAATAAATTACCTTTTAATAAATTTGATACTAAACTCCTTCATAATCTTACATTTCTAAAATAATTTTGATACAAACAATTATATACACACATAACTATTATTTTAGCAGTACCTACCTATATGTGAAACTAAATTTTATTATGAACATTACATTGGTGCCACAACAATAACTCTAGAACAAAACAAAAAACTTACCGAAATACGTAGTAAATATGAGCAGCGTGGCAATATACATCATTAGACTGACCAGCTCCGCGCCCACCATGAGCCAGTGCCACGTAACCACGGTCAGTGCCACCATTATCAGTTCAGTCAGGATCAGCGCTGTATAACTGATCTCCACTATATGAATTAATTGGTCCTCGAATAATACTAGCGCCCCGTACATTATTACTCCTCCTGCAGATATGTGAAAAGGGAGATTTAGTATATTAGTACCGGTTTAGAACATTTTTTATCGGATAATTAAAACCGTAACTATACAGACAATAATGTTTATTTATAGGAAAACCAACTGCTACACGTGCAAACAAAAAGTGGCGAAACAATATCAGAAAGTCAATTACAGGTTTTCACGGATAGATATACATTATTGAATTTGTAAAAACACTCACAATCTAAACAAATTCATCCTTTAGAAAAGAAACATACAAAAAAAAAACAAGACCACATACCAACTCGTTAATGTTAATGTTATAAGTAACATTAACGAGTTGGTATGTGGTCTTGTTTTTTTTTTTGTATGTTTATGCACGTTATACCACTGTACAATGTAACACCCACTTTTCACTATTTATGTTATGAGTCCCATGTAATAGGGGGTGAGCCTATTGCCATATACTGGACACTATTTCCGACTCCGTGCTACTACTGAGATTTTTTTAGAAAAACCCAGTATTGCTTGCTCGACCCTATAATCGAACCCGATTACCTTACCCAGCAGTCACACTAGCGACCACTCTGTCAATGAGGCAGACAGGCAGTCAATGTTTAAATATTGTAATAATAGTCGTACCTTGATAAATAGATATACCAGTCCATATATAGAAGGACTTGTAAGACAGCTGCCGACCTTTGGAGAGTTGCTTGTACAGTTGTGGGTATCTAAGTGCCGTTATACTCGGTATGTCTTTGTCAAGCACCTGAGAAACAAGACAATTTAAAATTCATTTCATTCCTTTAAGGTTTGATTTGATTTGATCTGCTCTAGTACTTTTAAGGTCAAAGTATACGTAACAAGCACGGCTCCGGAACGGCTACAACACAACAAATAACTTGTCATTTAAATATGAACTTTAAATCGTATATCGTATGACATATTTTATAATTATATTTTTTTTTCGTTATCTCTGTAATAGTTTGGATTTCTTTATTAGTTTGTATAAGTTTAATATGGTGTAAGGTGTCGCTAGATTTTATAATACCTTGTTATCGCATCGGGTCCTAAACCTGTAATGTTAACTTGTGTGTGTAATAATAAATAAATAATAAATGAATAATAAATAAATATATAAATAAACTAGCGGACCCGACAGACGTTGTCCTGCATATCCACTTGAATGTATAACAAAAATTCATTCAACTTAGTTCAGCCGTTTAGAATAACTAACCTAGACACCGACTGCAGTCCATCTGCCGGGCTGATTTGAGAATCTAAACCATCCAGGGCGCCACTCAAACGCGTACAGAAAAATTTAGTTAAGTCGGTCAAGCCGTTTAGGAGTTCAATGACATACACACGTACAGCAGAATTATATATGTAAAGATAAATAAATAATAAATAAATATATAAATAAATAAACAAATAAATAATTAAATAAACAAATAAATAATTAAATAATAAATAATATTAAATAAATAAATAAATAACGTCAATATAAAAAAGGTGTAATCGCGCCACTGTTGTATTGTTTTCAAAGCCAACGCCGTGCCGGAGTCGTGACGGAGCCGTGCTTGAGCCGTATTTATTAGGTGGTCGAAGACCTTTACAGTGTTATGTAAAACTGAAATTTGTATAGTGTCGTGTAACACAACTGTCACGACCAGACCTAGAATAAGATGTATACGTATTGTTGACGAGGGTTGTTGAAAATGATGACACGGTGTATGGAGAGATAAATCACTTTAACTAGGCAAGCTAAATCTATGATACACCATAGACGTGTAACTATCGAGGCGAGCGATGCTGCAGAAGTGCGTGTGACCGTTGGGTCGGCCAGTGGCGGAATGAATCAGCGCAGGCGCGCCGGCCTGCGCCGCCTGGCGATGCGCGGGCGCGCGGTTCGGCGCAGGCCGGCGTATCGCACAAAAGTTGTTCCATGCAGGTATTGAAACCGCGACATTATTGCACAGCAGTCCACAGCACTATCTACTTTCGTAGATAGTGCTGTGCTGTAGCCTACAGACTGAAAAATAATTTATACATAATATTTACCAATGAAAATACAGGAAGCATAGTGAAGACAGTTCCGTAGCCAACCATTAGGAATCCAGGGTACAGAGACACAGACGAGAAGTAGAACACCACTGAGAATACGGC